GAAAGATAAATTAAACAAAGTAAAATGAAGTAAAAATGAGGTATTATAGTCCCTAGGATTTATCCCCACTATTTTGTAATCTGTTCGTGACAGATGCATTACAGAACACGATCGGATTGACATTTGTCTTTTTGTTCTCACGTGGATAAGACACGTCTTGCTCTCGCAAGAAGCATACATTTCCTAATATAGAGATTCGGGACACGGTGAATAAAGATATAGCATTATGGTTCGCGTTATTAGTCAGGAAACTTACAATGAGGTTGTTAACGAAAATATGGAACAATTTTCAATGACTCCTGAAGAAGCTATAGAAGACGCGGTAAAACAATTTGAGGCTCAGGTATTCAAATTTGTTTATTTCTACGTTTCTGACTTAGAGATTGGTAAAAAATGTTAGTTCATTTGCTATAAGTCTACTTTGAATTGTACAATGTATTATTCAAAAGAATAGTGAAAATCTTAGTGTCATTCAATACATGAAAGTTATTGAAATTTTAATTTAAACAAAAATAACACTTTTATATCAGAAATATCTTTTCCATTAAATTATACATGTGTTTCATAAGTATTAATTATAATGGTAAAACATTAAACTTTTATTATTTTTATATTACTTAATTAATGTATTTTCATATTAACAACTACGCAACGTCAAATTGTGTTATATTAAATTGATAGAATACTTAAAAATATAATGCACAAGAACAGAATTCAAATAATCTAGAACACATTACATAAGTACATGGTTGTTTTTATCACCTCTATTTTTATAGGGGATAGACTTGAGCAACATCATTAAAGATTTAATTCTCAATGATGATAATGAATTAATTGTGTCTTATTTAAATCAAATTAATATTGCAATTGAGAGTCGGAATTATGGAAATATTCACCATGTATTAGACAAATTGAGGAGTCAGTTAGACAAAGATATTGCACGCAGAGTATATGCAGGAAAGAAGGGCACATATAATATTTTAATAAATTTAATGAAAGCATGTTCTAACAATGCTACTGTCATAAAAGCAGCATTGAAAACTATTACTTCGTTAATGACTGGTAATCCAGACTTGCTGAATGATGAGGGAATAGCTTTGCAAATCCAGTAAGAAGCTATTATTAGTTATGATCAAGTGAGCAACGCTTCATTATTTGTCATCATTTGTACATTATTCTCTTTGTTAGGATTTTAGATACATATCCAGATATTTCAACATTACAATTGCTTCTACGATGGATAAGAGAATGTTGCATAAAACATGAGCTTAATAGACAAGGCATTTTTAATGCAGATATTTTTAGCAAGCTTAAGAAAATATTAATTCGAGATGATATGTCTGGGCCTGAATTAAGAGATGCTTGTGCCGTGATTAGAGCCCTGGTATTAGACGATGATATCAGACAGGAATATGGAAAAGCTCATGAGCATGCAATTGTTATTGCAAAAGGAGCTCTCAATGTCCTTACTGGGTTAATGCCAAGTAAATAGCATTCAATAGTTTGTATGTTCCAAATGATTATGTATTATGCAAAAAATTTTAATAGATTGATTTTGTTGCATGTAGAATATAAAAAAGACAAAGGGGTCGTGGGTGATTTAATGATAACTTTAGCAGCATTGATCGTACGGAATGAATTTTGTCAGGAAGTAGAAGATGCAGGAGGGCTAAAGTTTGTTATAGACGTTATGATTGATTATCCAGATTCAGAGAAATTAAATTGGCAAGCCTTGAAATTATTGAAGGCCCTAGCTGGAAATGATGATGTAAAGTCTCATATTATAATGTCAGGTTGTGGCCCTTTAATTGTCTCTGCTATAAGTAGAATGAGAGTAAGTTTGCATTTTTGTGACGTTGTTTTTTGTGATACATATTTTCCAATAATTAGTTTGGATCTTGTATTGATAAGAAAAGATGTGATTGAAACGTTGGTCGTATCATAGGAATCTGAGTGTGTAGTGACCGCAGGACTTGCATGTATTTCCGCATTAACACTGAGGTGTTCCTCAAACGCTGGTGTGTTTTACGATTGTGGAGCGCCGCTTGTAATCATAGACGCGATGAAAGCTTATCCTAAAAGCGTGAATGTCTTGAAACAAGCTGCTTGGGCTATACGAAATATGTCTGTAAGAAATAAGGCGGAATGTTCAGAATTTATTACTCATGGTGTAGAGGACGTCTTGGCAAAAGCCCTTAAACAACATGATTCTAAGATTGAAAGTGACGTGAAGGCGGCTTTGAGGGACTTGGGATTGAAAGTAGAATTGAAAGAACGATGGACTGGAAAAGGTGTATCTATGAGCAATGGAATCGATTAATCACCGTCACGTGTGTATTGCAAATATTTTAGATACTTTTATACAGTTTGCTTGCAAAAAATGGCAAATATATATATATATATATATATACTTTTATACAGATTTATATATATATATATA